GGAAGGGAAGCTAGAAGCTGCTACCTGCCGTGGTTGTGTAACCCTTGTGCCTGTTTCCACTTCTCCTTCCTTTGCCATTATTAGAATGAAGATGGAACTGACACTTGCATTGGGGTAACTAGCTGACCTGCAGCTAGTCTTTTGGGAATTTTCCCAAGGCCATAGGCTGAACTACAAGCAACTCCAACCTCAGCCTGCACTATGAAAAAAAAAAAAACCAGAGCCCTAGGACAGCCTGCTTTCTCTTCTCTCTTTCAAGCAGAACAGCTCTTACCTATGTCACAGCACAGCTTTCAGGATTAATTAGTTAATGTTTGTAGAGATCTCTCAAAATGCAAAGCTCTGTGTAAATGTCAGCTCTTATTATGAGTAAGCAGCTTTTCAAAGGCAAGCCTCTCAGTGCAATGACATGGAAGCTAAGAGGAATCACATTTTTTGTTACCTATAAGGATCTGCTCAGAATTATCTGGGCTTAAGTAAAGCCCATTCTCTTGATTTACACTGAAATGGTGCCCTTTGCCTCACTTGAGTGCAATCTAATAAAAGACAAATCCTGTTTGAAAAGCTTTGGCACTGCACCAGGACATGGGGGAGACCAAATAGCCAGCCAGGGTATGAGTCACTCAAGATAGTATGTGGAAAACGCAGGCTTCTCCTGGTGTGGCATTTCAGATGTTCTTTCTTGAAGTGCTCTTTGCTTCCAAGGCCCCCTTTGGATTCACTGGCTGAGGAAGAATCTTCAGCAGCATGCGCCACAGCTGGGAAACAAAATGAATGTTCTTCCACTCTTTCCCTTAAGGGCAGCAATAGTTTCGCAAGACTGAGTTAAGGCAGAAGGCATTTTATAGAAATGAGATGGAAGGATCTGCATGCCTTATTGCTCATATCAATGAGAAAAATTGTCCCTCAGCATTTCATCAGGCACATCTGCAGAGCCTAAAGAATAGGGAACAGCTGGTTCCTACTTCCAGGCCTTGGCCCCAGTAGTGTTTTCCAACATATTGCCTTCGTTAACACTTTGCTCAGTGTCACAAGAATACCCAGAAGGAAGAAAACACAGTAAATTGTAGTACTGCATTTTCAGTCTTTAGAAGCAGGTGGGCTTATGGTGAACCTTTTGGGCTCAGTGTGTCATTATGTAAAGAAACACCAAATTGTTACTAAAATGAATTACGACTAAAACAAACTGATTTTTGGAAGGTCCAGAGGCTATGCAAGAGCACACCCCATTCTCACACAGCCTCCAAAACTCACACAAGAATGGGGTCTGCTTTTGAGAATAGTGGTTGAATGTTGGTGAATGCTGATGCATCAGTCACCTTAGACACATGTCATAAATTCACCATCACTACCTTATGCTTTGCATCAACAGAGTTTTTCCCATTTATGTTAATGGTTTTGGAAATGTGTCCACATGCTACACAATTCAAGGAAAAGTTTCCAGTGTACCAAGATGCCAGGGAATATTTCTTATAAGTAGTTCAAAATGGATTATCTTTAATAGTGCAGCAGCATGCCAGCTTCTTTGATTCCCAAAATGACAGAAAGGAAAACCAAAAAGAGGGCAAAAAGATTCTTAAAGTTGACTCTCTCAAAATACATTGCCTAACTTAAAATAACATACAGCTGCCATGAAACAAACTGTACAAAAGAGTTGTCACAAAGCATGTGTGGAAAAAGTTGGAGAACCCTCTACAGAGAAAATGTGCAAAAGAATTCTAGGATAAGGAGATATAATGTAGATGTTTTTATGCATTGCTTTGTTTAGAATACAATGAGCAGATTGTAGTACAATGAGCAGTTTTGGATTCATAAAGCTAAATGTTGCCCAGTTACTTGTGGCAGTCCAACACTGGCTTGATTAGTCTCTTAGGGCTGGCAGATGGTCATGGCAAGCATTTGTCAGATATGGCTGTGGCAAGATTGCATCATCACTATAGTAATTCAAGGAGAGGCGACTCATTGTCCTTCTCTTCCAACTCCCGATAGGAGACCAAGTTAGTCATGTCCAATAGTATTTAAACAAATAGAAAGTACCATGTATACAGGAAATACTTTAAAAGATAACTATATGTGAATAATAAAGTCATAATCAACTTTACAAATGTAGCAAGACAAACAGTCTTACAAAAAACATGTAAGGCATGTATTAGTCACTGTTCTGACCTAGGCTTATACAATACAAACTTAGTCCTGGGCAAACCTCTTTAATTCAGACAGCTGTGAATTATTGTCATTCCCAGTCCAAAAGGTTTATCAAACAGTCTTGCAGGGGAGTGTTTACAAACACTCACCTTATCTCCCTTGAAATGCTGCCAGAGAACTAATTACCACACACAGGGCAAGGCCAAACTTAGCACAGAGTCAAACTGAACTTTTCTACAGCTTTTACCGACCAGATGAACTAATTGCTTCCTGCAAAAGCTCATGTCCCGTTTGCTTCTCTTTTATGTCTTATGGGAGGGGCCAATCATCTCCAAGCCTTACTCCCAAGTCGACCCTGTTTTCTTAATCGTTCCTGTCTCCTGGCAGCTCTGCGCATGTGCACACTGGGAACAGGCTCACACTGTTCTTCTGCCTCGCTGATGTCAGACTCCGGAGACTCCGGAGGCAGCAAAGAACTACCAGATGGCCTTGGCCCCCTCTCTGCCTCCGACTCAGAGCCATCGTCTGAGCCTTCCCCAGACTCCAGGACTGACCCACGTTCCTCCCCAACCTCCTCACTGTTCAAATCTGCTGCCAGCTCTGCTGGCTGCTGGCGGGCCACAACAGTCACCTTATCAGAGAGATGGGCAGCATAAAAATTTAATAAATGAAACCTGACTAAGTCCAGAAGTTCGGACTGGCCCTTTCAAAAGTAGGGTTTTGGGTGTGGTATCAGACAAGACTCAGAGGAGGAGGAGGAGGGTGGAGGTGTGATTGACATTCAGGAATTTCGGGTTTTCAGGGACACTGTACCACACATTACCAGATGTGAAACCTTGTTCATTAAGTTGAGTTCTAAGGATCAGTTAGGATTGTTGCTGTTGTACCAGCCTCTCTGCTGCATAGCAACTTCCCTGAGTTCCTGAACTTCATCTCCAGGTTGGCAGTGGAGTTCCCCAGACTTAGGAGTCTTTAATATGGCTTCTCTGGGCATGGGGTTTGAGGTGGCTCAGCAATTCATGGCTGCCATGGGCCTATACTAGGTCACTCAGGGCCTGAAATGGGACAATGGGCACACACCATTGTTTCTCTCAGAGCAATGGCTACATGATCTTTGATTAGGAAAACTTTTAAGTGTCCCCCCCCCAATTATGGTCAGATCATTGGTCTGGTCAGAGACTGAGGGACCTGAAGGGGTTTCAGAGGGAGCTGGGAGCTGTTCCTCTGTTCCAACTGAGGCCTTGGATTCATTCCTATGTGACTTTTCTCCTCCATCACTCCCCAAGATTTACTGAGAAGCTGAGTGAGATGAAATGGAAGAAGAGATATCTAGAGTCCTGTTGAAACTCACCTAAGGATGAACTCAACTGAACATGGGTTAGAGTCACATTAAAGCCTACTTTTGGTGGTAATGGAGGCAAAACAGCAGTACTTCTCTGGTACACCTTTCTTTTATTCTGTATGCAGATTCCTGCCCCACAGCCTTGTTTCAGGTGACAAAAGCCCTCTTGGGTAAGTGGGGCTTAAAGAATCTCTTCTAGGGGTGTGTGGAAGAATTTGCATAACATCTGTTGGAGATAAATTCACTCAGCTTTGATCTCAGTTGGACTCTGGTCTTGTTGCAGATCCAGAGAAGATGGTTGGGGAGCAGTCTTGCCTGGTTATCTAGGATCAGTTTGAACCTGTTGGGTCTGAGGAAATGAACAGGAATCTTAGGAGCCAAGTTATTTGAAGGGCCACCTCTCCCTGATTATATCTGCCTGTTCCATCAGGTCTGGCAGAAGAAGCATGTTATAGGTCCTGCCTATAAGAAGTCCCAGGAGGTGGGAATTCTCTTCCATGGTGCCTCCCTTATCTCCCCATCCCTACTCTGAAGTGAGACTGGCTCCATCCCTGTTGATTTTTCAGAAGTCCTAGGGGACTGCTGAGGTACTGAGGTGGCACCATTATTGTCTTCTCTTAGCATTTGTGATTTTTATTTTTATAATAAGAATTTTGTTTATATATTAACTGTTTTATAGTTTTATTGCATACCATCCAGAAACACTTTTTTTGTGAGATGGGTAGCCATATCAGTTTGATAAATAAATAAAAAAATAAAACTAAATCAATGAAAACAAGCAGCTTTAATGTGCTCTATAAAAGGCAAATTTGCTAGAGCGCTGTTTCTCAACTTTGGCAGCTTTTAAGATGTGTAGATTTCAACTATCTACTGCTCTAGATAGATCATTGTGTTTCTATCTAATATGTGGCTGTTAAAAGAATGGGACACTTTTCAAGGAGTAGTGCTGGTAACTTTCCCCAGGAAATTTGTTTCTACTCATCTTTTTTATTGAAAAAAATAACTCTAACAAGGAAGTGGGGTCCACAACTATGGCTACACCTGATAGGATGTTGCTGATCCCACCTGAAGGAATTACAGAAGGGTCCTTGTGCTAGATATTGATGATAATGAGAGCCTAGGGGGTTGCTGATGAAGAAATTTATGCACACAAATTCCAGTCATACATTTTTGGGATTTGGCCTTGGGAGTCATGATTACAACATTTCACATTGTTTCTTCTAAGCAGTGGAAATTGGACTGGATGCATTTTTGAATGATACATTATTCTTTAATTGCAGGGAAAACATCCAACATTTTACAGTAATGCTCATACTGTAATCCATAGTGAATCCTCTCCCACATTATAAGATAGTTCCTAAAGTGGAGGAATTATGTAAAACATTACTAAAATGTTTATTTAAAGACATTCATTTTAATTTATGATAATTAGCTTAACCTATAATATTTGGGGTAAAGCAAAATGTTTTAGAAAGTGAAATAGATTGGTAACAAACTTGAAACATTACTGTAGAACAGTTAGAAACACGTATGCCACATATATTTTTCTTTCTAAAAAAACAGCTTAAAAATGTAATACCATTTGCTGAATAGTTTCCCAAGACTTTTTTCATTGTGATTGCTGGGAGCAGATAAACCTTCATAGATCCATACAATATAGTATTGTCTTTTTTTTTTTTTTAAAGACTTTTACATAATGCAAGAGAAAATCTGTGTGATTTGATCCTGGGGGGGCCTGGCAAATAAGCAAGATATGTTATTACAGCAGAAATCAGAAAGGATTTCGTTTCAGCCCTCCCCGTGTAGCCATCTACTTTGTCCTGGTTACAGAAGGTATATATACCCAATGGAACACCAGTTTAAAAGAAAGCTGTTTTTTAAAAATTTCCTCCAGAATAAAAATGATTTGGATTAATCTGATTGTATCAACAGGTCTTTTTCTCATAGACTGAGTATGTTTTGCTGTCCAGAAAGACAAATTGATCACAATGTTCAACAGAGTTGAATAAAATTTGTCAATGGCTCTCCGTCTTTCATTTTTTCCTTCTTCTCTAGCCTTTTAGCTGACTTGGAGCTGAAGATTCTGGACTTTCTCCAACCTTCTTTTGTAGCTGTGCTCTTTTTGCGAGCATCACAGTGAGACGATCGGAATGATAACCTGAAAAGCAAACATGGACACAACTGAGAACAGAAAGAATTTCTTGTAGCTATTGTTGTAACCATGCTTTTCAAATGTCATTTAGATCAGCACTGAACCATTGCATGTGCCAGTTGACATAAGCACTGAACCATTTGCATGGCTACCATCTGCTGTGATTAATGCAAAGCCTATACCTGAAATACAATAAACCGAATCATTGCTTCTCTCTCTCTCTCTGACTCCCCCATCACCAACCAAATTTAAAAATATGCCTGCATTGTATTCAATTGTTTATGTGTTTGTGTGTCTGTGTCTGTATGTGTATGATGACAGAAACATAGAACTAAAACTCTTGTTCCATAATCATTAACTGGATAAAATGGTGCGTTATAGTTAACAATTTTTGAACAGAGTTATCTCCAATGTTAGCTCATTAAAGAATGTATCCAAACTCCAGGCCCCATGACTTCTCTGCAATTGAAACTTGGCAAATTAAAAAAAAACATTTATGACATAAATATGGTCATAAAATAGTATATGATATAATACAAAACATTATACAACACTTCCTGTGAGGACATATGACTTTGCTCTCCAGTTCAACATGGGCTATTTTCAAGGCAGACCCATCTCTGAATGTATCCTAATTTCTCCACTGCAGGCAGTACTCCAGAAGTTCTACATAGTTGAAGGCATTGAAAAATCTGGTAAGAAAACATCTCTGAAATGATGATCCATTGGGTCATGGTTTGTATGCTCTATGCAACATTAATGCATACAGTGGGGTTTTTTTTTTTAGCTCCCATGAAGCTTATATGAGCTAATATTTCTATTATAGCTACAGATAAAATAAAGTCTCTTTTTATCCAGCTGTAAAAGTAATCACAACTCACCATTGTCCTCCTTTCTTTAATCATGTTCTCCTGTCTTAGGCAATCCCATTTCTGGACCTTCTGAATGGCTGCAGGAAACCATTTTTTTTTTTAAAATTAGATTTATATGTCACCCTTCCCCGGAGACTCAGGGCGGCTTACAATGCATTAAGCAATAGCCTTCATACTTTTGTATATTTTTTATCCAAAGTCATCTTATTGCCCCCACAAACTGTGTCCTCAATTTACCTACCTTAGAAAGGATGGAAGGCTGAGTCAACCTTGAGCCTGGTGAGATTCGAACTTACAGTAATTGCAGACAGCTGAATGTTAATAACAGGCTTTAGTCTGCTGAGCCATGATGGCATCATAGGAAGTTCCCTGGTTAATTTTGTGCAAAGGCCCCTTGTTTGGCCTCTGGGAGAGAGGCAGCTTCTATTCTCACAATGAAAACTCCTGAGAAGTAGGACAAAGAGGAGGAGCCATCCATAACCCAAAATAGCTAAATGATATCAGTGTAAATCTGGAGGAGTTGTTATGACAATGGAGCTGGTTTGCTTCTCATAGTCCTATTTCCATTCCTATCATTATTTTTTACATTGCTGATTATCCATCATACAGAGTTTTGGTGGAGGTACTTGTGCTCTGCTTTAGCTAATAGTAATCCAGAGAGTTGATGTGTTATTTATGAACATATATAAAGTACGACGAGTTGGAATGTTTAAGGGCACATGCAATTACACTAATATACTGCTCCTATGTATTGATCTGTAAACTAAATTTTGTAACTTGAGGAAAGTTTTTCCCTTTCTGAATTTTAACTTCTTATATTCTTATAAGATATATCAAGTCTGAATATAGTATTATTATACAAATTGTTAAATTTGCAGTGACCCATCAAACTAATAGGGAGAAGTAACTAAGCAGAGGATCAGGTAAAGAAAATATTAGATATGTTGCACTCATTGTCTTCTCTCCAGAAACAGATCTTTTCTGAGGGAGAGAAATAAGAATACAGTAGGATAATGTTAATTCTGCATATCTCTTATACTATATATAGAAATAGAATCCATCTTCCTCCATATTTCCTTTGGTTCAAAAACCAGTTCCCTTCTTTAATCTTAAAAAAGGGAAGGAGAGAATATTGTTTTTAGGGCAACTGAGCTCTGCTTTAATCGCGCACAGGGGAACAGCTTTTTGAACTTCAGACCTGAACACCATAATTTAGCAATGACATCCTTCATCAGACAATATGGACTAGAGGATTTGAGATGATGTGAGCTGAGCTATTCATTATCAGCAGCTGGAAGCTTTTCAAAGTCCTCTCTGCTGGAGATCAGGCACAATCCACCCCTTGATTGTACCAAACTAGGATTGCATAGTTAGATAATCATCCAATCAGTAGGTGATTGGATTAAATTACTTAAGTTTTCTTTACTCTCTGCTTGCATGATTCTGTGTTGTATCCTAAATATCTGGTGTTCTCCCTAATTTAAATGAAACTGGACTTGGAAAGGTTTCTATAAACTTCCATAGGTCTGAGATGGAGCAAAAAACCCCTATCTCTTTATATAATATAAGAGTAATGATTTTACTGACAATACACAGAGACCAACCATTTAGTATTTTTAAAGGGGGACAAAAAGCTTCAGGATCAATCAGACCCTTTAATTAGCATTTCTTTATTTGGACAAATAAACAACAGTGATGATCATTATATTTTACATTGTTGCACTTTTTGACAACAACAATAATAAAAACCATCCTACTTAGGACTGCCTATATTCCTAAATGATACCTTAATAACTCTTAGGTTCTTGGTTAAGACTTGAATTATTAAATTTCCACCAATCTTAGACTGTGAATCTAACTGTAGATTACTATTACTATAATAATAATAGAAAAATGTACTATAGTAGCAATAAATTAGGGCAATATCACAAATAGTAATGGAATTGAAATGCTGTATGGCCAAACCCACAGGAGCTATCAGGATGAAGCCTACAAGTATCTGAGCATTTTATATTTGGATAACATTAAACATCAATAAGTCAAAAATGTGATTAGTAAAGAATACATCCAAAGATTTGAAAAAATGCTAAAAACATAATTGAACGGTGGAAGCGCACAATCAGAGCGATCAATCTCTGGGACATATCTGCGATATGATACTCACTAGAATTGTTAACTGGACACAAACTGAACTGGATGGTTTTGACTGAAAAACAAAGCTAATGACTATTGGAAAATTGGAACTTACTGAATGTGCAGGAAACAAACCATGAATATTAAAATAATGAAATAAAAGTATGAACAGAATGTTAGCCGTGGAAAGCATTACATGGTGAATTTCTATTAAAAAATGAGGGGGAAATAAATAAAGATAATACATGGGCAATGGCTTACAACTGAAAAACTAAAGAAACTGAAGGCTTAAGTTGGTGGCTCAAGAGCAAGATACTTCATCAAAAGCAATCAAAGTCAGAATTGAAAAACTGTCAAATGATTGAAAGTGCAGATTGTGTAAAAAGGCAGAAGAAACAGTAGATGATATATTCATGTAAGAAGATCACACAACAGATTATAAACCACAACATAACACAGTCACCAGTCCAGATGTTCACTGGAACATCTGTAAAAAATATCATGTGCCAGTAATGAAACATTGGTGAGAACAGAAGTTGAAAAAGTAGTCAAAAATGAACAGGTTAAAATATTGTGGTATTTGTGAATAGAAACAGATAAAGTCTTGGAGTATAATACACCTGATTTAACTATTCTTGGAAAGAAGAAAGTGTGGATAATAGGACAGCAGAATGGAAGACTAAACTCAGAGAAGATTGCAAACTATCAAGGCTCAAGAATCAAAGCTAAAAGATTATGGTATAACCAACAGTGGTGATCCCAGTAGTTATTGACACAATAGGTGCCATACAAAAAAATCTTGGATGACACTTACAAAATCTATGCATTGAAAAAATTTCCATCAGGCCTTAAGATGTATATGCAGGTTTTTACATTTTTGTGCATATAATAATAATGTTACTTTTAAAAAATGAACTTGTACCCCTACATTCACAAGAAAGGAGAAAAAGTATCATTTGACACTATATTTTCATTTTGATTTCTGAACCTGCATTTCTAATGATTTTCCTCTTGTCTCATTCAGCTCTGATATTCCGTGTTTCTCATACTTTACAACCAGATAGAATATTGGAAAGAAGATATACAAAAGCTATAGGATTATTAAATTATTATTATAATTCACAGCAAATGCAGTTGGACAGTGAGTCAGAAAGTTGATGACAACTCCACTCTAAGGTCACCTCCATTTTCTCTTTCGGTCATGTGATTCAGAGTGGAAGGGATGCAAGACTCCCTGTGCATCTATATATACATGCAAACACAGAGATGCAACAAGAGAGGTGCAGAAACACACACATGTACACAGTTCGTTATTCTTTACAGAGAAGAAAGTACAGATACCTCTTATGGCTACTACTGGTAAAGGAGATGGAGGAATTGCAGGAGTCATGCTCCCTAATGTGTTACTTATGGCAACAGAAGAACAGCCTAGAATGTAAGGAAACACAAGTGGAGCAGAGGTGGTAATCAGCAGGTTCTGACCAATTCTGGAGAACCGGTAGTACAAATTTTGAGTAGTTTGGAGAACCGGTAAATACCACCTCTGACTGGCCCCGCCCCATCTATTCTCTCTCTCCCGAGTCCCAGCTGGTCAGGAGGAAATGGGGATTTTGCAGTAACCTTTCCCGCATGCCCAAGCCATGCCCACCAAGCCACGCCCACAGAACCGGTAGTAAAACAATTTGAATCCCACCACTGGAGTGAAGGCAGGGGATGGAGGAAAATATTACAGCAATACAGGATGCTTTAGCCAGGTTATCTTTCTTCTCTCCATTTACAGTATGTAATCCATAACCAGGGATAGTAAAACAGAAATCCATGAGTTAAAGTAAAATAGATTTTCTTGTTTCTGCAGACTTGACACTTTCAAAGATGATTTTTCTGCTCTCTTGGTTATGAAGATAGCATTCATAATGTAAATTGATCCACCCTCTGGCTGTATTTGCTGTTGCTAGTTCATCCAATGAGTGAGAATTCCCAGCCGTATATGAACAGGGCTTTCACATCAAGTCTCAACTTATGGACATTTAGACAATATAAACCTGTCTGTTCCATGAAGACAAACCTCCCCCCCAATTTATCTGCTTTTTGATCCCTTTTTGATAGATAGTTATATCTATCATCTAAATCTGAAATTGTGATAAGATACACATATTAGGAGATGCAATATATTATAGTAATTCTAATTTGAGGTTGACTACAGGATTTCTTTCCATTCACATGCAGAGGAAGAGAAGCAATTGTTTCTGCCTATCCCACTCACCACTTAAACACCTGTTTTGCTGAAGTAGTCTATATGAAATTCAAGTCAAGGGGTGCTTTCACTAGCATAAGGACATATTGGATGCAAGCCAATAGAGATCTTTCTTCATTCTTTCCTTTCTAAGCCATAATTCAGTACACAAGGTCCAACAACTTTCCACCAGCTTCCTAGGTCATAAACTGGCTTTTAAACTGAGTCCAATATGCAAACTCCTTTTGTAGCCTTCCTCAATAACCAGTATCTCAAGCTCGGGTAGGAATAACTATACCCTATAAGTCCTGTTAATTAAAAAAATTTCCCACCTATTGCAAGAATGAAATATTTTCCTAATTACAAAGACTGGCCTTGTAGGCAGTCAAATGTTTTGTATTTGGTGGGTTGGGTTAAGTGTTTCATACATGCACCATACATACAGACAGACATTAATCATACTATTTTATTGGACTCATTTTAATTTGGTTATGTTATCTTTGCTTGAAAGATTATTACTCGCCCAATGCTCCTGGGTTTGGCTAGAAGGAAGAAAATCTATTCAAAGAAATTGAGGTGGACCTGAGTATCATAAAATTGAACGATGAGATTGTAGATTAATTACAATATCTGTAGTCTGCCTACTGTAGTGAGATAAATTGAATGCACGGAGAATGTTATGAACATTACCACTATTCCTTCAACAGGAAGTGTGATTGATTTAAGTAAAAAAAAAACCTTCCTTTTTCTCCATTTCCACTCTCCAGACTAGCAATGGCTATATTCCCTTACACAGTAAACATATTCTACAAGACTCTTATTCCTGAAGCTTCTAAATACCTGTGATATAGAAAAATACCATGGCTCAGCATCTAATTTCAAGGATAAATTTTGGGAAAAGTTTAGATGGTTCAGTAGATGATATGATTGACAGGTGAGAACTTAATAGTTCACCTTCCTATTTAGCATTCAGTAAGAGTGCAAGAACATAATCCATGGGGCTTCAGTTTACATTAGAGCTTTTTTACCTCAGCTAACCTAGCATTAAAATAAAACATGATTTCCATCAATATGGAACTTCCATGTAAGCGTAAAGCTGGAAGCACATGCAACATTCTTTCAGGCAGTAATAATGCACAGGAAGCATTGCATTCAGGGTGTAATGTATTTTTAATTACAACTTTTGAATGCCCTTGATAAAGATTTTCCAGTCCATCACCTCCTCCCTTTGTCTGTGTTAATGGATTGCATTGATTTTGTGATTTGTAAATTTTGCCACTGGTATACATAATATGGTGAAATTTAATCTCCTAACTGATTTAATTGATTACATTTTGAAATGTATCAAGCTGTAGCAGATTTCCAGGGGTATGGCCTAGTGCTGCATGAGAACTTTAAATTAACTTGCACATAAAGTTCTTAAAAAATATTTTCTTGATTAACCCATGGGACCTTTTCACACTACAGAGCTTACTCCTACAATGACTTGATAAAATCCTTTCATCTCTTCCATTTGTACTGCCACTCCAGCATAGATTTCACAATTATTTTTCCTTTCTGCTCTGTTCCCAGATGGCATGAAGAAAGCAAGGAGGTGTTGTGCTTTAGCAAAGGTCACCAATAATAATGATATACCTACGATGCTTTCACACTCTGAGCCAAGATGTTTGTCTTGTGTCCACAAATGCCCTGGGAAGATTTTCCATGGAATCATTCCCATGCAAATACTCCTCCAGTTATTTTATAGTTATAGTTTGGCAATTTCTGATCTTAGAGCACAGCTGAGAGAGAACAGCAAACTAATCAACTATTCAAAGGAGCTAGTCCAGGAAACATTAAACATCCACCTTTGCCCCTCCTACATATTGTCCCTATAAAGGGTACCGTTAACATTATAAAGAAAGATGGGCCATGTAGACCCCTAGATTTGCTCAACAGTCTCCTCTTGTAGGAACTTAGTGAATTTGGAAGAGATGCTCCCATCATTAGGATCATCCAGCAGTATGGACAAATGATGCTGAAGATTTTGAAGGCAAAGAAAGAAAATGTCACTTTTAAAAAGCAGCCAGGATCACAATACTGAACCAAGACAAATAGTTGGAAAGCAATTTTTCTGGTAATTTGTACAACTGTGTTGAATTTGCTAATATCACAGTGAATATCAAACATGTTTCCTAACTTAAGATAGAAAAGAACATGTTAACAAAATAAAAAGGCTGTAGGCCACAGTTCAGCCTATATGAGATGGGGAATGCTGAATGAACTATAATCTTGATTGGTATCTTATGCTTTATTCTCACCTTATACCGGGTGTTGACAGTTTTTGAAATGTACCAGAGCCTTGGGAGACTTCGCTTACGACACCTTCTCTCTGCATCAAGGGAACTATTGGAAACATAATAATAAAAATCATCTTTTCATTTCACTTCTCAACACAAGACAGGATTGTTCCAAGGATACGGACCTCTGAGTCCACTGCTGTTTCAATTCTGCTGTGGGCTTCTCTTCAAATGCCAAAATATATATTTCTTAAAAGGTCAATGAGTTGTGAAATATTTGTATTAACCAACTCCTGGATCAGCTCAGTTCAAAAGACCTTCTCAAGTACAAGAGCCTCTGGGCTGCATTGGAATAAAGTAACTCAACTCCTCACCCAGAAAAAAAGGCAGCTCCTCAGCCTCACTGCAGGAAAGGAAGGGCTGAGCAGTGCGAGAAGCTAAAAGCAATTGCCAGCTTTTGGATCTCTGCCTGCTCATCCCCTCTTGTCCTTCTCACCATATGGTCAGCTTGTAAATGCAGGGCAAACTCTCTTGCTGATTACCAAACTGTCAACAGGGAAAGGTAAAAAAGCTGAGTAAGATATGAATCAAGAGTGATCGGGGTTTCATTGTTGTTTGTATTAGGAGAGACAAGCAGACCTTGTGGGGAAACTTAAAAGCTAGTTGCCACTCTTTCACGAAGTTGGATTTCTGAATAAATTGGGACCATGAACAAACAAAATGAACAAGCCATAAGCTCTCTCCCTCTCTCTCTCCCTCTCTCTCTCCCTCTCTCTCTCTGTGTGTATTTGTGTGTATGTGTGACAGTTCATAAAATATATTACAATTAAATAATTTTAAAAACATTTTAAAACAAAATCAGTAAAACCATTTAAAAAACCATTAGAAATATCCAATTCAAGATACAGGAGAGAAAGATATTTGGCCCATTAGCAATATAGTTAGGAAACGGAGCCCTAACCACATTCAGCACCCTAGGCTCAGGGACATGGCCAGGTGTTTAAAGCCTTACAAAAGGTTAACAGGGTTGGGCCATTCTAATCTCCGATACTGCTCCGATACTCTACTAGTTGGACTAGTAGAGACTCTTGAAAAAAGGCCATCCCTCAGATTCCAAGGCATGTAGGGCTTTATAGGTAACCACCAGCATCTTGAATTGCACCTGCAAATATACCAGTAGCCAGCACAGCTCACTCAGGAGTGGTGTTACACGTACCATATATCTGGCACTATTTGCTACCTGTGCAGCTGCATTGTGTACCACTTAGAGTTTCTGAATGTTCTTCAAGGGTTTCTGAATGTTCTTCAAGGGTAGCCCCATGTACAGAAAGCTAACCTGGAGGTTACAAGGGTGTGAATTACTATGAGAAGGACCTCCAGGTCCAGGTATGAGCAAAACTGGCACACCATGTGGAGGTGTGCAAAAGCCCTCCTAGCCACAGCTGCCACTTGCTCCTTGAGTCTAGGAGGGCTCCCAGTTTGTGGAACAGGTCTGTTTGGGGAAGTGCAACCCCTTCTAGAACCAAAGATGGAAATTAATAAGAATATCATCATCATCATTATCATCATCATCTCTCCTTATCTTTGATATTCTCTTTTTTCCAGGAACTCCAGATGATTTCCCTGATGATCTCCCTTTATGTATGTATTTCTGAGTGATAATTTCAGTTCAATTCAGAATAGAGCTGGAAGGGATCTTGTAGGTATTCTAGTTTAACCCCCTATTCAATGAACTAAAATGAACTAAAAGTAACAGTTCTTCAATGCCCAGTAACTGAAGTGCTTTTGTTCAGAATTATTTTAAGAAAAAAATTCAAGAATCCTATATGAAGCCCCTCTCCCAATACAAAGGGCAAAGTGGTCCATAGGAAAAAAAATACAAAACAGCCTATTGAGACAAGCTTAAATTTGGTCCATGGTCTGTAAACATTGTAGGACTACTTATGCTAAGTGAAGGAAGTCTGAGTTGATATATATTTTCTCTGTTTTTAAACAGTCTAAATGGAGTAGGACTAGCATTTAATCTGGTTAGAAGGCATTTTTGCCATGTCATAGGAAGCTATAATAAAAACTGAAACCTGGGAAAATGTACTTAATAATATTAAATACTGAGTTTACATGGACCATAATTATTTGCACACCTTGATGGTTATGAGTTATGCAACTGTACAAGAACTTTCATTCAGAGAATGACAAAACTGAACAGTCTAAATGTGTATTGATCAGGATCATTCTCCCAGTTTAAGAGATTCTTTTTGCTTTAATCATGTGGGCTGATAACATTCCATAGGCTGGCTCTGGAAATGCCAATCACAATGTAAATATCAAATACCAAATTGGAAATTTCAGCAGTCAAAAGGCTTTGCTTTCTATAAGCCTTTTTTTCTAAGTACAAATTTATTCTATTCCACTGACTTAAAAATTTATATATACAGTCATATGCCTTTTTAAAAAACTCTTTCGGAGGTGTAAAAATGTATATTCAACTTTCCAGTGTTATGTATATTTTCTTAATATACATGTTTTAGAGTACCATGTTCAGTAATATGCACATTTTTGTGATAAACAATTTCTTTTCACATTTCATATTTCTTTGGGGCAAGGGAACCCCATCACAAAATTGGGAAATGATCAATAATGAAGGATAATTGCATTTCAATTCATGTATTGGTTTGGAAAGAGTTAGGCTACATTAAGCTGGTTCTTATTAAAATGCACACCTCGCAGTGTACATTAAAGGACAAAGCTGGAGAAGACCAAAGATCATACAGTAATCAATTATTTAAGGAAGTCAGAAGAAAGGGAGTTTTTCAAGCATGAAATCTGTATTTCTTGGCATAAATCAGGTAGGCAAGGAAAGACAAAAGTGACTTTGGCTTGGTTCTCACTCAGTACTAAAACTGTGTTAGGCAGTTTTACATTTGGCTGCAGTCAGAGGCCTGGCGTGAAGGGATGATAGTGGTTTGATTTCTTCCATCAGGTAGAAGGTATGTTTTGTCATTCAATCTCTCACCTGTAGATTGTCACAGTATCAACTAGACAAAGGAGAATTTTGACTCTACAGTGAGGCACTGATTTGGGTAAAGAAGGACAGGTATAGCTGTTCATTGTAGAGTCAAATTTTCCAAGAAAGTTTGCCATTCCATAGGAGGCTTAGTTCTTTTTACCATTCTCTCCAGTCTAAACTATGACTTACATTTGGTTTGGTTTTATAAGTTTCATGCAATACATCAATTTATTTCAATTTAGTTGGAGGGCATGAAATTCTTTTGTTTTTAGCATAAGACAATGCTATGTTCATTTTCTTGCATTTCTGTTTCCTGAGTAAAATCTGCACAAGAAGCAGCATATTAAAAAAAGAAGCATTTTCTGCCTCAGGAGAGTAACAGCAAAGCCCACTGGCATTTTCAGAAGCAAGTGGGGGTTTTGTGTCTTGTATCTATTTTGCTCCTTCTCTTTCCTTACACAAAGAATGAAAAAAATATTTTAAGTGGAATTAACAATACATTATCTCAGGAAGGTAGCTGAATTGGCAGAAGCTAGACAAAAAAGTCTGCAAGAAACAAGCTTGCTTGTAATGCTGTTCTTGGAAAACACGTCCTGGATATCTCCCACTTGACACAGCCTTGGTTGTCTGTGAGGGCATTCATATCCAACTGTAATTGTCTAACAATTGTTCCACACTGGGAAAATAGTTCTGATTACAGACATTAACACATTGAGGCATTAAGTTTCTCCGCAGTAATTACCCTTGAGCTTAGTCTCACAAATGAATTAATATGCTGATCGCCTGGACTAATAGAACTAGCAGAAGAGTGATGAATTGCTTCCAAATCAGATAAAATCAAGCATGACATCATTTAATTAATTTCTTCTTTGGGGGACATATCTAAGGAGGGAAGACAGTGGAAACATTGGAAAAGAGACAAATGGTCTCTTTGTGTGGGATTCTGTCCCTCACACCTAGTCCCTAAAGAAGTGACGGGTCCAAGACAACAGATTTTTCCTTTTCATGAAAAATACCTTGTGGGAGAATATGCAGTATATAGACACACTGTATCTGGCTTGAGTTTTTTTTCCCTTCACATGTTCCAAGCCCTTTAAAATGGACATAAAGACCTACTGAAAACTCGGCTGCCACTTTTGTGACTTTTCTAAATACCAGCTAGACTGAATTATGGTGATGAAATTAAAAGAGCTATCACTATTGCACGGCTTCATCCCATGCTGGTGAGAAAAAGCTTGATTATGTGAGATCTGTAAATTGGGGATAGGCTGGGATGACATCCAGATTTCCTTATCAAACAAAACTATTCTGCCTTTGATTTTTCAGATTCATACTTGTTGCTGCATTGTAAAATCATTTCTTTAAAATTATACCCCACCCAGTTATAGAAACTGCAAGTGGCCTATATCTAAATAACAAAGCAGTCCAACAACCAATAATATAAACCTAACAAGAAAAGAAAAGCTAATTAAACACATTAAAAGTATTAAAACCAATCAGGCCACAGCTTTTAAGTGCTCTTCTAAAAAGTCTCTGTCTTAAAGAATGTGGGGACCATGGAGATTTCAGGGGCTGTAGCTTCCATAGGGATGAGGCAGCCACTGAAAAAATGTGTTTTCAGTCTGCTCTCAATCTGCTGAAGAGGGGGGAAATCAAGAACATCTCCTTGTAAATTGAATGAACAGCATGGTCCCATAGCAAGTATGGACATTATAGGCAATAAACAAGCAATTTGAAATATATCCAGAAACAAGCTACTAAGTGATGGAGTTCCTGCAATATTGGCATTACATTTTAAGGACTTTTACTCATCAGCATATAGATCCCTACATTTTGCACCAATCACATTCTCCTAATAGTCTTCAAAGGCAACCCCACATAGAGTGAACTCCAGTGTTCCAGTTCTGAAGTAATAAGACCTCCAATTATAAAAGTGTCACAGCTGACATACCAGTTGAAAATAGAAAAAGTCCCTCCACACCATAGTTTTCTCCTACTTTTTTCAGGAAGAACTTTGAGTTCTTAAAGACATTCAGTTTGGTGTAATAGTTAAGGCATCAGGCTAGAAACTAGGAGACCCTAAATTCTAATCCCACCTTAGGCACAAAGCCAGGTGGGAAACTATGTGTCAGGATCTTTCTCTCAGCCCTAGAAGCAGACAATGGCAAACCCCTTCCAAAATCTTGCCAAGAAAATTGTAGGGACTTGTAGGGAAAATTATAGGGACCAACCACCACATTGAGTCAAAGACACCCCTCCCTCATATGACCATTAATAGTGACTAAATCTACATACTGTAACTGTTGTACCTTTTTTAAACCCCCAAAATGGAAATAATCAGGTTATTGAAATGGAGAAACACCCCCATGGGGACCCACAAAGACCCTTTGGCAAGATAACTTTTAAAACATTTTAAATGCTTATACATTCAGAAAAAATCACCAGTATTTTATAGTCCAATTCTTTAAAGTGTTGTGAACATTTAAAATGTTTAAAATGTTGTGAACTCCAGCCTTTCCTTCTGCCTTCTCATTTGGGTAGATGCACTAAATTCCCTGTCTCAGTTATATCAACTCCTTAGATTTCAAAATAGTTTCTCAGGAAGTTGTAATAGCTAACCTCTAGGGAAGATTTAAAGACAAAGAATGGGGAACTTCCTTTCACAAAAGGCAGGAAATGCAAATATGTTTGCTCATTCACTGAGCAAAATAACAGTAGAGCCTTTTAAAGAAGATAAGCAGAATAGTGGCTTGGCTTGCTCAGTTTCTAAAAGGACCTCAGGCTCTTTTTCAAATGAAAGGCTATATTTGAATCTGATTCTGGGGATTATGGATCACCCAGGGAGGACATGGCCCTCTTGGCCTTTCCAGTGGATACCCATAGACAATTCAGAGTGAAATAAGGAGCAGGAAGTGTACCAGATTTAATTTGGTTTATATACAATTAGTTCTTGATGGGTAACCCAAACCCATCCTAAAGTGTGTTATTTTCATTGTCTGCTGGAAATAAGTGGTTTCAATACAATATGATGCTTTACCTGAACTGGTTTTACAAGGTTGTTGTTCTTTCAGAATCACTTCTTCCCTTAAAGATAAATAGTTGTTCAGCTTCCACTCCAGCTCTCGCAATCTTTTTTCTTCCTGTATATAAAGAACACTAATTTAGTTTTTTTCTGCACTTAAATCAAACCAGAGCACTGACATACCTGACAACACTTATTTTGTTCATCAATTCATGAGAATGTCTTGTCCCCATCCCATGAACATTACTGGTTTAAGTTGTCCTTAATTGAAGCAATAGTAAAACAATGTTTTCCCCTTTAATCTAACACTATCCAAGAACAGCAATGTCTTGGTATACAATCTTTTAGTCATCCATGATCTTGAAAGGAAGTTGGGCCACTAGAGAGACTTGAAACAGAAGCAAGAGAGTCAGAACAGGATTGGTAATTGAGTCAGCAGATTTTAGTTTAGTTTAAGAAAAGATTAGGATTAATATCCTAGTATATGGCATTTGAAAGAAGAGTCATGGTGGCATAGTGGTTAGAATGCAGTACTACTGCAGGCTACTTCTGCTGACTACTGGCTGCCAGCAGTTTGGCAGTTCGATTCTCATTGGCTCAAGGTTGACTCAACCTTCCATCCTTCCGAGGACCCAGATTGTTGGAGGCAATATGCTGAATCTGTAAAACCACCTAGAGAGGGCTGTAAAGCACTGTGATGCAGTGTATAAGTCTAATTGCTATTGCTGAAAGAATTAGATCAAATCATGAAGACTTTAAAAAGGAGTTTTCATGCCCAGAGATACTAATCCCATTTCACTGGGGCTTCTGTTTGGGATTTAGTATTGAGCTTTGATTGTGCTTGGCAGAGCTTGGCAGAGGGGTGGTGCATCTGTCCTTATGCTCTTTGACCTCCTGGTAACATTTTATACCATTCCCCAACACTATCTTCTGAATTGGTTGTGGGTTGGGAATTGTGGGCACCATTGTGACAATGAGAAATCAACCACTAGGCCCCTCTTTTGTGTGGTGCCACATAATTCTACTCTCTTTTCACCTCTTTTCAAGATTAACATGAAACTGCTGGGTGAGGTTATTGCCAGTTTGGGGTTTGGTATCATTAATATGATGACCTTGGATGGGGTAGCATTTTCCCCTTCAAGATTGGTACATATTCTGGACTTGCGACTCCTACTTGAAGAGCAGATTCAGCTATAGTCAGGAAGACCTTTGTACAGCTCCATCTGGTAGGCCATGTTGGTCACAGAGCCAGTTTGGTCTAGTGATTAAGACACCAGAATAGAAACCAGGAGATTATTTCTGGTTCCGCCTTAGGGATGAAAAATGGCTGGATGACTTTGGACCACTGACTCTCTTTAAGCCCATGACATCAGGGACTTGGGCAACAAGCCGGTTGGTCAATTCCTTATTGATCCAAAGTAAGTAAGTACTGTAAACAATAAAGCAGACTCTGCACTTATTAGCAAAATGATAGGAAGAAAAAAAAATCCAGTGAGTCAGTTGCACTCTCATGTCTTGGTTACCTCACGGCTTGACTACTGCAATGTACTCTACATAGTGCTGCCCTTGATACCATCCAGAAGCTTCAAGTAGTCCATAATGCAGAAGCAAAAGCAGTGGTGGGCATGCCTCAGTATATCCCATGCAACAATTCTGCAAACTACACTGGTTGCCAGTTTGCTTCCAGGTGTGATTCAAGGTCCTGGTTGTTATCTATAAAGCCCCACACAGCATAGGCTTACCTATCCTCTTAACATCTGCCTGGCCAATTTGATCTTCCAGGGTCGGCATATTATTGGATTATTTGATTAAACAATGCCATCTATTGGTACCTCAGAAAACTACCTGTTTTCTGGAACAAGATTTCCCTGAGAAATCCAATGGTTTCAACTCTGCCATGGTTCAGAAGAGCTGTGAAGACTTGGCTCTTCACTCAGGCCTTTGGGTGGGGGGGAGAGTGAAACCCTGGCTTCATCATGTTTTCCATCTTGTATCTTTATCTATTTATTTATTTTATTATAATTCCCTTGATTGTTGTGAACCATCAAAAATCATTGATAGCAGGTGGCATGCAGGTTTAGTATTGTATTTTTCGGAGTATAAAATGCTCCAGACTATAAGACGCACCTACCTTTTTTGGTGAGGAAAACAAGAAAAAGAAATCTACCTCTGCCTCTGCCTCCCAGCAATTTTGCCTCATTGCAGCTGCTTTACTTTCATTTTCGTTTTCAGCATAGCTTGATTAGCACAAGAAAAAAAATATCTACTCCCAGCAATTTACCTCCTTGCAGCAAGCAGCAGAGACCCATGCAAAACAGCTGAAAGCAAAGCAGCTGAGAGTCGGGAGGCACTTGTGCTAATCAACTTGTGCTAATTAGGCTGTACTGAAGCTGAAACAAGCTGTTTCTTCTTGCTGCTTGTTGCAAGGAGGTAAACTGCTGGGAGGCAGAGGCCAAAGGGTGGGAGCCAGTGGGTGGGCGGGGCTATATTCAGTATATAAGATGCACCTAAATTTTCACCCCCTTTTAGGGGAGAAAAAAATGTGTCTTATACTCTGAAAAATACGGTAAGTTCTTGTTATTATTGTTGTTATTGTTATTATTATCCAAACTAGGCAGTTTAGAAATATGGCCTAAAGTGATTTCCCTGATTCTGTGAAGATTTGCACATATTTGGTATTTCAATTTCAAATTGGAATTTATTGATTGATTTTGTATTTTTAACAATATTTTTTTTATTTTATTCAAAAAGTTAAAATGCAAACTTCAGAATAAAAAAGAACTTTTACAAAAACCAAAAAATGTTAGACAAAATATTTAAAAAGCACTGAAAAAAAAGACAAAAAAACACATTTATACATATATTGTCCCCCAAATTGAATATTGTTAAATATATTACAGCAAAAATAGTTCCCTTCCTTGGAAAGCAGGCCAACGATTTATAAAGTTCTACAAATCTATTTGCTACCAATTGACCTGCCAACTATCTACTATCAATAAAAAAGGGTAGTTAACAGGTAAGCCAATAGTTAAGTTAAACTTCTGAGCCCTCTGTTAACAATTCATTATTGTATTTAACTCATAGAAAGTCTATAATGGCTTTTATCTACAATTCACCACAATCATTATCTCTGATCCACCCAGGATCAATATCCTTGTTTGATTCTTAATAATAAAACATTTCTTTAAAGTTTTAATTGGGATCTTTCTCAGCAGTTGCTTCTCATTTCCAAAGTCATAAAACTCTATTGTAGATATCTCCATAGCACCCACTATTCAGAAACTCTAGTTGTAAACAAAAACATAGCGCCTCTTGTCAGTTGTTTTCTGGTTAAATATAATAAATCCATTCTACAAAGTCTCCATCTTCTCAAAAAAATCCAGTTCATTGCTCATTCCATTCCACCCTCTCTGGATTTTCTGTATTGGTGCCCCTTTCAGCTTTCGCCATCAAGTCTGCAATTCTCAAACAAGTCTTTTGTATTTTTCCTATCCTGCAATTGGCTCAGAGTGATATATTTCCATTTCATTGTATAATTCTATCAGCTTTGTGTTCTAGGTGAGGTAATAGTAATATAATGGCAAAATAATATCTGGTAAGCTATATGACTAAGCAGCTGGAGTGAAATGAAGTGTATTCCAATAGATTTTAAAATTGCCATATATTTTTCACCAAATTGAATTCCAAATATGTAACTTTGTAACACTTTATACATACAGAAATTAAATTTAGTTGGACTAGTTTTATGATTTAATAAAATATCTAAAATGTTATTAAAATTTCCAAAAATAATTATATGATATTATTATATAGCATTAAAAAATCTCTAAACATATATAAAATATCTAGATTGTACTTAGTAGAACAATAATAATTAATAAATGCAGTATGGTTATCAGAACATTTAATCACCAATATTAAAAAATATCCTATAGGATCACTTATTTTTTATTCTACTACACATGTTCAAGACCTATTAATCAAACTTACTACACCCTTGATAGATTTTAAATCACTAATAGACTATTAGTCTAGCTTCCAGACAAAATATTTTTCTCATATGGAAGAATATGAGGATTTAAAAAAAAAAAAAAACTTCACATTTTAAATTATCTAATTCAATAAAATTCTCTCTCTTCTTGGAAAGACATTTAGGCCTTTTACATTCAAGGGAATAACTAAAGACAACAGTAGAAGAAAAATAGTACTTTTAAAAAGCAAAAGGGTATTTCCATAGGTGAAGAAAAAAAAGATTAAACCTATCAAGGAACAGGGAAAGAAAGAGAAAGAGAAAAAGAGAAAGTCCGCATGCGCGTGCGCGAGATTGAGAGAACAGCATTACTACTAACACAATGACAGCCACAAAAAAATTGCTACATCGAATTGAACCTTACACCATTCTAGGAAAACATCTAAAAATAAAAAGGACTGTAACTGCTATCATCCTGCATGATGAACTCTGGGCATGTTCAGATGCATGTGCTTTCAAAGGGAACTTCAATTCCCTTTGCAACAAGGCAAGAGGTTAGAAGAGCCATCTTTGTTCAACGCTACCCCTTTCACAGGTCGGGAAGTATTCAATATAGAATGCAATGGGTATGTAGCTTCCTTTACTTACTTTCATGTTCTGCAGTTCATTTTAGCTAAAATTTGACTCAGAAGAAAGCCCCTGAATTATCTTTCTGGAATCTTCTCTCTCTTTAGCTATAGTTGAAGTGAGTTTAATAGTTATTGTTAAATAATTGGCCATTTTAGTATGACTAGCTTCTTGAATTCTTTAAAGGGAAGCCTTGATAATGAATATGAAATAATATGACAATAAAAGTAGAATGAAGAATTATGGTTATATTGTACAAATACCTTATCACACAACATTTCATAATGAAAAAATAAACATTTGACAACAGTAAAAGTATCACAATTGAAATTTCATGTAATGGCCTTAGAAAACTACTGAAACAAGCTTCTTATTTACATGGCAAATCAAATAATGCAATATAAATAAGTATGTTATCTTTCACTTCTGGAATTTAAAAATTATAATTTTAGGAAAAGAACATTAAATTATAACATCAAATCACTAGTGCAAATATTAGTGAATCAAATACAAAGTGTCTG